AAATTGGGAAAAGAGGGGGGCCCCAAGGGCCCCTGGGGGGGGGGGAAAAAATGCCCAAAAAATTTTTTTTTTTTTTGGGGCAAAAACAAAAAGGGCCCCCAAATTTGGGGGGTTTTTTTATTGGGGGTAGAAACGGGTCCCCTTCTCAAAAGGGACGGGGGGCCCTTGTTAAAATGATTCCGCCAACCAAAAAAGGGGTCCCCCCCCCCCCCCCCCCCCCCCTCCCCCCCTGGACCGATTTTCAAAGCTCGCCTACTCTGCAAACCGCAAACAAGGTGAAGGTGCCGAAAATGGCGGCGTTGGAACCGTCTCGTCCTGAGCTTTCCGGGAAAATATCGCTTGATTATGGCATCCTCTTCGTCGTCGTGGAGTGCTCGAGCTTTTGAAGAGATCAGTTCAGGGGGGGTGGTATCTTATGCAACCAACGGCATGCTGGCCGCACTCTTCACGGCCGCAAAAATTACGAACAAAACATCACAGGCCTGCTGACCCAAACCCACCGGCGCGACAAACACGCCGGCGAATCGACTTCCCTACGGTGGGGGAAAGGTCTGCGAATACGTCTATCCCGCAAAGTCACGAGGCTGCTGTCTGTCTCGCACCCTTCGCCAAAGATGATGGGTTGTTGTAGTGCGCGTGCCAACGAACAATTGACACCGAGGCGACGTTGCGTTGTGACATGGTCAGAAACAGAAAAAAGGAAAGGGCGGATACTTGGAGGAGTGCGTGACAACGAGGACAAAGAAGACGACAAGAAACAACATCTACACCACCATCATCCTTACACCTACCGACAACAGTCAACAGTTGCATCAACTGCCTAATAGACAAGGATAGACAAGGAAGGTTACCCACCTGCACACTAATACCTGACCCACAATCACCAAACCCGTTGCCACGCAATTTTGCACGAAGACAGCCGCAAAAAAACAACGCACCGTCACGGACTCGACGTATCGCTTCATGGCCTCGTTCTCCTGCACCTTCGCCCGAAGGCTCGCGCCCAGCTCGCGCGCCCTCATCCCCTCCAGCCGCCCGGCCACCGCGGCGCCCACCGTCCACCGAGGACTGCGCCCACCCCCACCCCCGCCCCCGCCCCCATCCCCCCTCCCATCCCCTTCCGAGAAGCCCCTCGAGGAATGTCTCATGGCGGCCCCTCGTACCGAGAGAGGACCACCGCCTTCTCCGCCGGCCCCCATGGAGGCCGTGGAAAACCCATCGAGGGACATCGACCCCTTCCTAGAGATCGACCCCCCGCGGGAGGAGTAGATCGTTGAGCCCCCCCCGCCGTCGAAGCAGCCGCCCGCCGCCGCCGCCGCTGCCGCCGCGGCGGCGGCCCCCGCTGCTGCCGCCGCCGCCGCCGCTCCTCCTTGGCCGGCTCCGCCTACCGCGCTGCTCGGCAGGGAGCCCGCGCGTGCGGTGCTTGCCCGTGGCGTGCTCTCGCCGCTGTCCCGGTCCCTCCACATCTGGCGGAGCGATCGCGTCGAGCTCAGCGGAGCCCTGTGTTTGCCACGGACCAGCAGTCGATGATGGGTGAGGGTGATTTCGCTATCAGTTCTTACGGGGGGGGGGGGGGGGGGGGGGGGGG